TTGTTAGTATGTTGCTGAAATCCATTAATAACACTGAAAGGTTAGCTGGATGTTATATTTTAGATTTCTAAACTTTAGGGATGTTGAAACCAGGTTATAGCATCAGTTTAAGTTGTTAAATCAATGCTGTTGTTGAATTCAATTTCTGAATTCAGGAAATATATATGAGGGAAAATAGGTAAAAGGCATTATGGGATTGCGATAGTTATTGATGGGCGGTTTTAAGTATTGGAAAGCAGCTGGTGTGTTTTCCCTTTATTCCTCTTACCCAGAGACCTCCATGTTCCAACATAATTTAAGCATTCAAAAGGTGGCTTGTGGGAGAGGTTGAAAGTTGCTGATTTTAGAAATCATGGTAGATAGCTAAAGAAGAGAGTAGAATTGAATGAAGGAGAGCGCGATTGAGGTGGTATACAAAAGAAGAAAGAATTGGGATATTGAGGTGAGGCCCAACTGATTCATAAGAATTAGTTCAAATTTCATATATCTGTAAGTTAATATTTGGCATATTTATGATAGTATGCCTCTCATGTGATAATATGTACTCCCATCTATTTCAACTTATTTATTTGTAGCTGATTTCAATTATATAGATTGTTGATTCACTTGATACTTAATACTAGTGATTGTGACTATATAAAAAGAGAATGATAGTATAAAAGCAAATTATTAAGTCATATATGAGGGATAGGAGAAAGATCTAATGAGGTAAGCCTACACTTTTAATTCTAAAAGTTGAGAATCTGGATCCAACCTTAAATTAAAAAGCTAAAAGTGTACATAAACATATATCCATCATATGGTTTGTTTAAAAGAAGGAAAGTACTGCTATGTTTTCTGGTGATCCATATGGAATGTACTCTAACCATCTTATTATTTAGTCACTAATGTTATGCATTTCTCAATGGTTAAAATGTTATTATTAATTTTTATATATTGCTTGTGTATTTCATTGAGCCATATCTCATTAGCAGTAGTTATACTACAGGTAAGGGAAAATAGCCTGTAGGGCACTAGGCGGAAAAAAGGTGACCATTCCTTTTTGGTGTACAAAGAGATTTGAAGGATAACTGTATATACTTTTTGGGTATGTAAGTAAATTTTAAAAGTTTTAGTAAAGCTATGTATTTAGTTTAATTATATTTAATGTTAAGTAAAGTATATTATATGCTTCCCATTATGAAGTTTGGAGTTGAAAGGTTGACATGTTCCTAGAGCCTAAATAGATTTCCTTTTTACTCACTTTATTCTAAAAATAGTGGTAAGGAATGGGTGTTAGTAAGAAGGGGTCGGTTTAGATTTTCCTTCTATGTTATACTCCAGATTGACTGTTAAAAAGGGGGGGGGGAGTAGGCCAAACTGGGGTGTGACACATTGCGTCAAAGTGACATTGGCATTAGATTTAATTTTAGAGTATTGATGATTCATTGTAAGAAATTGATGGTTCATTGTAATCTTTTATTAAAGTTTCATTATAATAATTGATGGTTAATTTAATATTTGATTTTAATGTAAAAAATTTATAACTTTTTTTACTACTAAATGAATCCATGTGTCGTGTATACGGTCTGTTTAAATAGAATTTCTACACCTTATGTAAAACATGCATTACATTGTTTTGCTAACTTTGTTGAAAAATGCAAATCAATTGTAATTATTTTTTCTTTGGGAAAATTTGTATATAATCCTTTTAAATTTCTTTTAGTTTTGTAGTCAAACTCCTCATTATGAATGATATATCATCTTTTTTTTTAAAGAAATGCAAATAACATATAAAAAGAAAAAAGCTATTACAAGCTAGAAAAAAAAAGCTAATACGCTTCCCTTTCCTAACATATGCAAATGAAGCATTATTGAAAAAAAAAATAAAGAAAACTAAAATTGTATTTGCAATAATGAGATTATGATAATGTAAATGAGATTCACTATTCCTCACTTTGAACCAATTGGGGTGTTGGGAATACCAAATTTTAAACAACTAAATATATTTGTTAGTATCCCAGAGTTCTCAATCAGGTAAAGAATGAAAATTAGGAAGAGACCCAAATTCCATTATTCTAATTTCATGATGCAAAATAACAAACAAAGCTCATATCCTCAATCCCAATTGGCCATATAGCCACCTCTTTTCCATAAGGAATAGACCTTTTGACATATGAACACAAATGCTACTTCTGAAGCCATATGAAAACACAAGGACTTCTTAGCATCAACGGCTCTTGTATCTGAAATCTTCGCTTCCTTGAAGCCTACTATAAGTAAGCCTTAAACTTCAAAAAAGAAATCAATAAAATTCATTATCTTTAATGGGATGGAATCCCACTTCAAGTCATCAATAGAACATTTAGGTAGTCCCAAACTTCCTTGGACTATCCAATCAACAAAACAATCTTCCTTAGAAGATCCACAAAAAAATAAAAAAAAAACTGCAATAACCCTGATATTCAAAACCGAATCCTCTTGAAACATAACTTCTACTTTCTTAAAATTAGATAAAGGTTTGAAACATCCATCTACAAATAAAATCTCCATTATCTCCATAAAGGAGACATTAAGACCAACCACGAACTTACTCATAATACCACCACATCCAACATAGTTCCTCCTTCCCTAACACATAATTACCCATTCTTATAGCAATAGAAGCATAACAAACCTTACAAGCAGAAACTACATAAGCAAATCCTTCATTGAACTTCCTATCCAAACACAACACATGAACAAAACCAAAAGAAAATTTCACAACTTTCAAAGCTCCATCCGAAATCTTGCCCCTTGAATATTCCAGCACAAGAACAAGGGAACATGCTATCACGACCAGGACAACAACAGATTTATCACCAAGAATCTTCAAGAAACAAAGAACATAATGACTTAAAACCTTATGGTTCTAAGAAGGCTTCCAGAAAGATAATTCTTAAATTATCTTTAGCAATTAAAGAATTTCAATCCTCAATTGAAGACAGAGGGAAATTGAATTATGCACAGAAAATTCTTCTGACCAGAATAATCTGCATCTACACCCTTTCTTGAAGAAAAAGAGATCCTTTAATAAAATCATCAATCTAAACATCATATCAAGGAAAACATAAAACCAAAACCAATCAAAACACCTATTAACAAAAATTCTTAATCCACAAACATTTGACGTCCACATAAGTCCAAACTATAAAAAATTATCAAGAAATCTAAAAAAAAAACAACCATCGACCACACAGGGTGTAAAATCCTTGGTGACCTGCTGGGCTTTGTAAGCTCATTATATGTGGTTTAAAATTTCAGGTCCGAGCAAGGCAACTGGAATGGAGTTCGATCAGAATGTCAGACGAATCCTTTCACTATGGATGCCTGGGGCGTCACACAGGGCTGACGACGAACCTCCACCAAAACGGCCTTGAACAATAAACCCAGCCATAAAGAATTTCAAATGAAACGCTTCGCTCCCTCAGCAAGCATCATAAGATTCCTTGAGCTCCATGACATCTACCTGAACGATATATCACCTTAGGTGATGACAATATCATTCTATAATAGGTTCATGTTACAAAACTATAAGTGTTTATTATGACAACATAATCAAATTTATGAGATAGTTAGATATGATTCCGGAGAATCAAAATGATATTCAATCATATATTTGAGTATGATAGTTAAAATGCTTTATCATCAATCATTATTTTGGGCTTGTATATGTTATATATATTAAATAAATATAAATGCATTTCTATTTTTATTATTTATAGTATCATGATGAAATTAGTGAGCTCTCGTTGATGTTTAGAATATAAAATATATAATTTTTTTCGAAGTTAGATCTTGGGGCATTACATGACCAATAAATAAAATAGAGTCAAATATATAGAAGTATTATGTGCTATAAAAATTGTGGGGGTAAGTATATGCTTGAGTCCTTGCTTTTCACAAGAAAATTTATAAAAGGGAAAAATTCATGAGGCTTAACCAATTGAAAATTTTATTATATAATAATAAATATAATAATCTTTTTTTTTCTTGCAACTGAATAAGATATGACTATTTTGAGAATAAATGTCATATTTCTTCTATAGGGATTACATAAATCAATGATCTATATACTTACAATTAATACCCAACAATAGACTTAGATATTGATAGAAGTTTGGAGACGAATACAACGATTGTTAGTGGTGGTTGTCATCAGCGGCGAGAACTGATGGTGGTTTTTGGCGATGAGAGCTAGAAAATATAAGGGAGCTTTCTTCTTCGCTTAAGACTTCCATCACCTCCATTTGTAAAAAATGAAACTCTATTTATAACATTTTTGAGATGTACATATTGATAAATTAGGTCAGAATTCAAATCACTTTATCGTATGATCCATATTTATTGTCTTGATGTTAGAATTTAATGATCTTGGGCTCGTTAGATTCGTCTCGTCAAATCACTCGTTTCAACTATATGCATATCAAATTTGGAGATCATTTGATCATCCAATTAATATAACAAGTTTCTAATTATGCAACAAGTGCTTGATTTGTACTCAGTTAGGCTCGGATTAGACCATTTTTAATATTGTTGGGTTCATCTTATGTAGACTTTCAATTAAACTATAAGTTTATTAAAATTATAGTTCAATTCTAAAAATTTTCTATTTCAATTTTATCTTAAGATTCCTATCAATGACATAAATTTTTTTGTAAACATAATAAAAATAGAAATTGAAATTTTATCGTAATTAACAACTCTAATATCATTTTTATATGGTTACTAAACAAATTCATTAGTGAGAATTAAAAAAAATAATAATGTTACAGTATAAGTTAAAAAATAATTATAAGAATTTTTTATAGTTCAGTTTAAGCTTTAAACGAGTCCTATGTATAAACTCGAAAATGTATTTTTGTCGCTTTGCTGCCCCCCGTAAATTTCACGTCATTCAATTACCAAAGAGCATACATTCCGTATACTTCTCGGAGTCCGGTGCACGTTAGCCGATAAAGTATAGTAAATTAGTAAATTTGCGCCTCTTCACCTCCAAATCACGAAGACGAAAACCAGAAAAGAGAGGCTCAGAAACACAGGAGAGAGAAAAACAAGCGTCGACCGAATCGCATAACGCCAAAACTAGTAGGAAAGTATGTGTGCGCGAAAAAGATGGTAGGCGAATGAAACACTTCTGTTGGTGGATCTCGAAGCGACACACTCTTGGATGGAAGGCCAAGAGTTAGTGATTTTACCATGATTCCGTGGCTTTAAAGTTGAGAACTTTCAGGAAGAGATAAGCGAATGGGAGTTCGTTTGCGCTAGGAGGTGAGTTCAGATCTTTTGGATCCTGGATTTTTCCACAATTTCTGCTTTAGTTGGAGTTCGATGTGATTTGAGTCGAGCATTGTTAGATCTGAGATTGGCAAGCGGGGTAAGCTTGAATTTTACAGTTGTGTAGTTAATTTTTCGCTTCCTGCTACTTTCTTTTCGAGTTTTGTTGTGATTCTAAGGGAATGGGTGCTTTTAGGCCCTGGAAACTAGTTGGATTGAGTTCGATGCAGGAATTGGGTTAAAGCTGTTATTTCTTATGGAAAAGTTTTTATAACTTGCCACTTTTCTTGTTTAACATTCTGGTTGAAGTAAATCCTATTTTTCTATCTATTCGATTATTCCCACGCGCTTCTTTTGTTTGTCGCTTGGGAGAATTCATCTCTTACAATAACTAACACTTTTTGGGGAGCTTTTTGTGCATTGTGTTCGGTGACAAGGAGCCAACCGTTATCTTCTTGGCATTTTCTTGATGTTTTTTACATTGAAGTAACGCCCCCTGTTCGACCTCTTGAAAAATCGTTTATTTTGGTCCGAGCTAACCGAGAAATTGGTTTATGAATTTTGTGTGCATTTTGCATTCTTGTCTATTCAATTTATTCTTCCATTAATATTTACGCGATGGCTTAGAATTGCTACTGGAATTTTTTAAACGTTTACCTTTTTTGTATGATGTGGTATGCAAGATAGAATTTTGTGTAAAAAGTTATGTTTAATAATCCGAAATGTTTTGACCTATTACGCTCCATTAGGTGTAATTGTCATTTTTTAATTTACTGATTGTGTCTTTTTATACTCTGAAAAATGTGCCACCAACTGCAAGCCAACCATCTGAGTTGGCTGCACGTTTTTTTGGGTGAGAAGTTATTGGTCTCTGAAGCATTTCTATACATATGGTTCTTTAAGTAGTTAGAATTGTATTGGTGGTGTGCCTAAAAGTTAATTATCATTTACCCACCGAGGCCTAGGGTGGTTGGTGGGCGAGCACGGTTGGGAATCCCCCATCCTGGGTTCAAATCCCCTCTACTACGGCCTCCCCTCTTAAGTGGAGCAAAACAAGTGTGGGCCCGATGCCGGTGGGTGGCCTTCAAAGGTTCCGCCGAGGGATTAGTTATGCCACCAATCACTTCTTTTGAAGTGGCAGCGGGTAGATACCCCCGTTCCCAATTGTATTGGCTGCTTCGAGATTCCTGGGGGTAAAATTGCCAAATGTCAACTGGTGGGTGGAATTAACCTTCGAACTTTACTTAGAAACTTAACATTTATTTCTTGTGCATGTTGAGTACATGGTCTTTTTCCTGTTTAGCTGTTTGGTTGGCTGTAAATTTGATAGAAAAAATAAAATTAGCATGGGATGTAGTTTTGTGTGCGGTTCAAAGCAAAATTGATGCTAAAGTTAATTTATGCCATAGTTTATTCTCTTCCACAAGTATGTAAAGAATGTGGCCACATCTATTGCAGTCAACTAAATAAACCCTTAATAAAAATTCAGGTTTTATGTGGCCGTTATGAGAAAGAAATCATTCAACTCTTTCCATGTTTGTGTTTCTAAGATTACACATTGAACAGCTAACTGTAGGGATCTTGGTCACCCATTCTATGGATGATAACTTTCTTATCAAACAATGTTACTTGAAATAATTTTCTACTTTGAAAGGAATTAGTTGGATCATGGGGTAATTTAATTCATAACTAGAGCGGAAGCTTAAGTACGACTTCTAGCCATTATATTTTGAATTTCATTTTTTATTTGGTTTTCCATAAACTAGCTCCCCTCATTTGTTGCTTGATTTATTGATCTTATGGCATGCTGCTTTATAACTTGGGTTAAGAGCAAACTGCAATTTAAAAATATTTTATGCAATGAGGATTGTCAAATATCGATTGCATAATAAGATGAGTGATGATTGACCCAACAATTGTCTAGTGCCTTACATTAGAAAAGAAGTGATTGATTTGATTCCAAATGAAGTTGTAATGCAATATTGTCAAAAAATACAAAATAGTTTAATAAGCTTGTAAGTATTGCTCAATTCATCGATCGTAATGAAGTACAAGATTTTAATTTGGATTATATATCATTCATTTTATTTTAAAATACTAATTTATTTACCTGATAAATTTATCCACCCTTTTAATGATAAAGAAATTTTGATGGAATTCTTGTCATTTTTTAAAATACTTTTGTTGTATGCTTGGCAAGCTTTTTGCATTGTTATTGTTATAATCAATTAGAGGTGTTCATATTTCAGTGGTTATATAATCATCAAATCCTAGTTTCAACTGGATTGTGTGTAATTTTATAGAAATTGTGCAATTTGAATAGCAAAGGTATGAACTATTACTCTTGTTTTAACAGCTGATACTACATTAAATAGTTTTATTGATTGTACTACAAAACTGCTGCCCGCTTAGCTGATTTGTTTAGGAAGATTTCATGAAGCGGTAAAAGTTGGAGTTTGATTTTACTGTTTTTATTTTTATTTTTATTTTTGCAGGTGTTAGTTATGTAAAGCTGAACTGAAATCATCATGGGCATTCCTGTAAGGTGGTTTAAATCATTTGTTGGGATTAAAAAGCATGAGAGGCTGCAAAACTCAAGTAACGGTGAAAATGTGGGTACAAAAATAACGGTATATTTTCCTCCTTTCATGATAGTTGGCTGGCTTTTTCTGGTTGCCAAAAATACTCATCAAAGAATAAGAGACCATGCCATGGTGTGCTGTAATCATTCCTCCGTGTGTAGGATGTCCTGCTTGGGCAATTATCAACCTTTCATTGTGGAGATGATAAGTAGACTATCTTAAAACTCCACAAATTCTATTGTTTCATGATAATTCAGTAAAGGTTGGGCAATTATCTCCTCGATCACATTACTAGTAGTGCAACTAGGTAAGTACATTTTTTAGAAGGGAACCAATTAAGTGAGTTTTTTAAGTTGCATGAAAGAAGCTAAGGACTTGCTTTTCATAAGACACCATTGCTAAAATTTAAGATCAAAGATTTGGTTGTCTCAATTTCCAAAATCAGCAGCATGTTAAGCTATAGGTGGAGCACAAAGAGAAGCATAGAATTCGGAGGACAAACATAAATTTTTTAGATGAAAGGTTAGAAAAATATACCAATGTCAATCGCTAATATGGAGGTCATATCACTAAGGGGATGATTGATCTTACCATTCATTTAAACAATGCTTCAAATGGAAGCATCCATCCCAATCTGCACATCAGATTGTGAAAGGATCAAGGGATCCAATCAGTTGATTTTGGATTATCCTATTCTATTTTTGATGCTGGTTATTCTCAATTCACATAATTGAGATAGAAGATAATGTCTCCAAGAACCCATTTTGCATGATCAAATTATCAATAAAAAACATACGAGAGAGATCAAGGACCTAAAAGTTTGACCATTAACTTAAAATTCAAGTTATAGCAGGATAAGGAAAAGTTTGAATTTTTAAAACTTGTTTGTATAAGCTTAATTTTGAACTTTAAAGTCTGGATTAAGATAAAATCAACTGGAATTATCTTGTAGTCGAAGTCATCTAATTTTTTCTTTGTGATATGACATATGAGTTCCTCTTTTTATGGAGTTTGTTTATGATGTGGATAAGAACTATTCCTTGCCATAGTTGCCTAAATATAGGTTTAATATCATGAACTAAGATCAATCCAAGTTTTCTCCGAAAATTCTCTTTTTTATTCTCTCTTTGTTGCCTTCAGTTTTCTACTCCTGTAGTTTTGAACCATAGTTTCTAAATCAGCCTCTGATTTACATAAAAAGCATACAACCACCTATGCATCCAATAGGAAAATGAAACCTGTACATCACACACCACTTAGCTCCATATAATAGATAGGACCCTTATACTCTGAGATGATTCATAGCAATAAAGAAACTTTTTCTCTGTCATTTCTTTCTCCTCTGTCTTCTTGTATCTCTCTCTGATTTCTTTCATGGTATCATAGCCTCTCGGCTTACAGCCCCTTGTGTTTCTCTCGTTTCTTCTAAGCAAAACTCACCAGGAGTCGATAGCAGCCCCTTGTGTCCAGCCGATCAGTTGCCGATCAACAAACTAGGAAGTGCAGATCTTCTAACAAGAAATTTTCCTGTTATTGTTCATCCTCTAATCACCTGTATGGATGCTGCTAGCCATCAAGAACCATTGTTGTCTTCTTCTTCGTCCAAAACTCTGCATCAAGAACCTCCTATAGCTTTAGGTTCCTCCTACAATCGTAGAGATCGCAGTGCGGTCCTGCAGCAAACCTCCCGTCGGCTGTCTTTTCTTGTCTAATCTGTCCACTCAACTTGTGTCTTTTGTTTTCTTTTCTGTTTCTAATCATTGAATCGTCTCCATCCTCTCACATAGGAGAAGATCTCTTGGCAAATCCTACTATTCCCCCTTTCCCGAAATTCTTGATTTCAAACATCAAGAACATGTTCTCCATCACCCTTTCCGGCGACAGTTGGAGGTCTCAGATTCTCAAATTGTTTAGAGCCAACAATTACTTGTCGTTTCTTAATCCAGCCACCCCAATTCCTCATTGCCTTCTTCACCAACAAGATGGCACATCCCACCCAAACAATCAATTTTCTCAAAGGACCTTGATCGATCTAAACCAGGCCGCCGTGATCTGTTCAACTCTCTCTCCTGCCATTTTACCTTACGTCCTAAATCTTGACTCATATGTCAAAATTTGGACCACTCTTGAGAAGCATTTGCAAGTCACAAACCGCTCAAGGGTCATAAAACTCAAGAATGATTTACAAAACATTTCCTTGGGTCAATCCACGATGATTCACTATCTTACTTCCATAAAGACTCTTGTAGATAACATCATTGCTCTCTCAATCGTCTTATGCTCAATCAATCCTTCAATATGCTGACATGGAGAGGTGCAACACCCTCCCCAACCCATCCACTACCAAACCTCCTACCTAAATTCCTGCTCACCTTTCTTTACTCAATCCTTCTTCATATCTCCACCTTACCAGGTCTCTTCAATACCTCACGATAATCAAGCCAAATTGTAGGTACTCTTAATTCTAGACCTAGCCTTGCATGATATTAAGAAGCTCTAGACCTAGCCTTGCTTTGGTAAGATTAGAGAGAGTCGTCTTAGATGGTTTGATCACATAAAACATCGGCCTTTTGATGACCCGGTTAGGAGAGTAGATGCTTTAGATTTGGCCTATATTAAGAGAGGTTGAGGTAGACCTAAAAAGACTTAGTTAGAAATTATTAGAAATGACATTTTTTTAGTAGATTTAAATGTGAATTTGACTTTTTATAGGACACAATGGAGAAAAAGAATTAATAGCCGACCCCACATAGTGGGATTAAGGCTTGATGATGTTTTTATTGTTGTTGTTTTGTAAGGAGGGAAAATCCTTGTTCCACCATGCATATTTGGCTATAAATCAATCTAACCTCACTATTTATTGATGCAAAAAAGATTGAAAAAAGTTTTTGAAAATTTAATATTGAAGTATTAAGATTAATTTTTGGACTTTAAGTTTTAAAAAAGAATATTGAAGACCCTGAACTTGATTTTGAAAGATTTTATTTTGAAATTCAAGCTTTGAGGTACTCATTAAATATTACATAGTGAGATATAAAAATCATTTAATGAATTTAGCTTGGGCTCATCAAAGCGGGCTTATCCTAAATTTAAATCAGCATAAGCTTAAGTCATTCCAATCTAGGGATAGCTTTAGAGCAAACTTGGGGTCAATAATGTTGACCATTAAGCTAAGAGGGGTAGGATCAATTTAATAGGACAATGATAAACTCCAAAATACTGGGTGAAATCCAAGAGTGATCTAGAGTTTATTAATGTCATGTAGGCTAGGTCTAGAATCAAGGATACCTAGGATTTGAAAAGGTCAGCTCCACGAGGTATCCTGATAATGGGGCCTAAAAAAAGTCTAGGTCCACTAGGGCAAATAACATAGAAAAGGGGAATAGACTAAGTCTAACCTTAGTTAACCTCTTTAAATAATGATGTAAATAGGTAACTAAATAATTAATTTATAGAAAATTATGGGGAATACGACACTAGAGAGAGATTTCCAATGAGTTGTAATGCCTTCCCTAGATATGGGGGAGAGGGACCAATACCTATAATGACATGAGAAAGAAAGGTAATATGGAGAGAAAAAAAAGTTTGTTGGTGGTATCTCATATGTGAACTGGCTCCTTAATCTAAATTCCAAGACATACTTGAGGAGTAGTTGAAATCTAGAGGAGGAAACAACATGAAAAGTAATAGCAGAGGCCTGAGAGTTCTAAATCAAGCAATCAACTTTCTCTAGAAAACGTATAATAGAATCTAAAGCAATGGTGGTAGTGTGAGAACCATTAACATAAGTAGTTGTTCTAGATGCTTGTTGAGAAGTAGGAGGATACCCAAGTTTAGCCTGATATTGCTCTGATGGATGGTTGGCGTGATCAGAACAAGAGCAGGGAAGAAATGCTTTTCTCCCGTGACCACCATGGCCATCATGACAACCACGATGCCTAATCATGAAAGCAATCCAATCAGAAGTAAGTGGTAAAGGTGATGATTGCCTAGTGATATGATGAATAGGGGAGCGAGCGGTTGCAAGATTATAAATTATAGAATTGGCCATCAGCTAAGATTGTGCATGTTGAAGCAGGAGAGAGCCTTAACAACTAGGAGTGAAATGCTTTGTCAACTATAAGCATGTTGATCAAACCTTTGTAAGAGTCTAGATGTAACATAGCATTGTCAACTATAAGCATGTTGACTTAGGATATGGGACAATGTATGAGTGAAATGCTTCATCTTGAAGATGGTATCCCCACAATTGACATCTCTCAGCCTTTTGGGTTGGTTGCCTAGTGTTGAATGTTTAGTCTCTCGAACTTCTTTAAGGTTAATTAAGACTTATTCTACATATGAAAGAGTGATGTCGGGTGCACGAACTGAACCCCGAGTTATCATCATCCTCAACATTGTGTCGAGACTAAGTTTCAATTCCTTTTATTAGTCTTACCCACAAACTCAACATCTTGTGATGCACCACCAACTTTCCCTTCTTGATAACTTTGATCTTCTTGTATGGAAGGTTCTTACATCTCTTAGTATACATCACCTCATATTTTCCTCATGGAGAATATCTTAATGAGAGCTCAGAAAGGATGTTGTTGTCCATTTGATTTGGAGCAAATAACAATTGTGTTTTTTATATAGGTTGGAGCACAATTTGCTTGGATAATTCAATTTGTAAGATAAAGTCATTGAGAGAGAGAGAGAGAGAGAGCCAAATGGAGGTCTATTTACGAAAGGTGGAGTTACATGATCTAAGAACTTCATTTTGTTGTTGCTAGATCTTATGATCAATGATAAAAGGTGTGTGGTGAAGCAACTAATCCCACTTAACTCTAGGTCACCATAATAATCTTAGATGAACCAATGTTTTAGTTATGCAAAAAATTAGTTATATTTTAAGTTATATATCATGGAGATGTTCTTTCTTGGAAGTATAGGAGAGAAAATCTCACATTGCCTTGACAGTCTCATAAAAAATGAATGTGGACGCAATAAAATGTTTGAGACAAGTCAATAACCAAGTTTGAATGACATAAGTTGGAGAACTTGATGTGGAGGGAGAGCTTTGAGTGTTTATCATAAAATCAATGACAAAGCACTAGGATCTTGACCATAAAGAGTAATTGATACCTTTAGATTTGATAAAGGTACTAAAAATGCAATAGGATTTTGTATCAGGAAGATGAGTTTTAGAGGCTATGATATTACAGGAGATAAGGATGAATAAGAAGAAATAAGATTAAATCATTGAGCTGTAGATGTAGAAGCAGGCGAGCAACAAGTATCAAGTGAAGCTAGCATGCAAGGTAGTGTGACGTGCTACACATGCACATATTAAGCGAGCAAGTGATTAGTGCAGGAGACAATAAGTGTGAAGGCTAACGGGTTTGTGATAGAAAGTGGATACAATTTTCTCAAAATCAGGGAACGACAAAAGGGCAATGGATGTGCATTCAAAGCGGGATTGGTGAGTGCATATGAAGCTAGAGTATCATATGGAAGCCGGATGGGGCGAATGGTTTGTTAGAGAATAATTAGGAGGATGCTAGGGTTTTCCTTCTTTGATACCGTATTGAGTGAAAAGGGGATTTCTTTGTCATTGATTGGATATATTTGGCCTTTAAATAGGTATACAACAGGAAACAAATAAAAGAGAATAATACCTTCAATTAATATGAAATTAAATACATATAATTACCTTCTTGCATCAGATTGATATGGTAACAAATCTTTCACTCTATGAGTGGCTCTTCATTTTTACTATTTATGCTAGAAATAAATTTTCTCCGCTAGTCTATGCTTTAGACAAAGCTAGCTAGTTTTTATGGCAATTTCACTGTCACGACCTGATCTGGAGGCTCGAATTAACGAGTTAGGAACAGATAGTCGGACGAAAAGTGAAATTTTCATTTATTAAATCTATCTCTAATACACTAAAAGTGTCAGTAAAACTTTAAAAATGAAATGATACAAAATCATTAAAATTCCTTTCTTCTGATGCATCACATCTACGATACACATTTGTACATCTTCTATTCATTTTGATTATAATAAATTATACCTAAAAATATTTGAGCAACTAAAAATTAGACACAACTCAGTAAGTAAAATATGCTTTTACAATAATTCAAGACAATTGTAACAATATGCATGATCCCTTTTTAATAAGAATTAAATAATAACAGTATTTGATGCATCATATGTAGGAGAAGCAAATATCATAACTATAATTAAAAGACATGAGAACTCACCTTAAACTTAGGAAATGCGATGTTTCACTTTTACTCCTTATTACAATGATGGTAGATTTAAAGCCTATAAAAGATGACTTCATTAAATTTAATTAATTATATGCAATTAAATTCTCTAACTTAATATTTTAAATTTTTTTCCCTTTTTAATAATATTTTAATTCTTAAAATTAATCATATAGTATGTCACTAATAATGATTTCTTTGATTATTAAAATTTAAAATACATGTTGTTTGCTCTCTCTTTCTCTTTCTCAAAGTAGCTAATTAAAGCCTCTAATTGCTCTCACATTTGATTGATTTCTAAAATATTTATGATAATTACAATCTCATATATTAAAATTTACATACAAAAATTCTCTCTCTTCTAATTTATAATTTTATTTAATTAATATTTTCTATATTAATAATATGTATCACTAATTATTCAATTCCTTATTTATATAATTAATTTATAATTAGCATTTTCAATTAAAATCCATATTTTATTTAAATATCATAATCTCTCAAACTTACGCTCTTTCTAATTATTTGCTTTTAAAATTTTAAATTTAAATTTGATTATTATTATTTCTATATTTGATAAAATATCTCATTTCCCTTACAATTTATCTCACCAAAACTTCCCTTCCTTTAAATTCTTCTTTCCTCTACCATTGAACCAAGTTTATATCACTTGGATTCTTCCAACATAAAAATAAAAAATTATATTTTTTTTATTGTTTCTTCAACTAAAGAAATGAGAAATGAAAGTATATACCCTCAAATTAAATCACTTATTTTTCCTTAAGAAGGAATTCCAAAAATCTAAATTCTTATTCTCTTATCCAGATTTTCTTTTAATATAACTTATCTTTTCTTAGGATTAATTATAGTAGGAAAATGCCAAAAGAAATGAATTTGAAAAACTTAATTCTTTTCCCTTTTGCATTTTCTTCTATAGGAATGAGTGAAACGGATATTTCTCATTTGAGGAGTTATTCTTTTTCACACCCTCACGCGTTTATCCACTTGAAATGCCGAATCGACCATTCCAGGAGGCATTTCTATGCTCGCGGTGGCCGCTTGGGTCGCGCCTGAGTTGTCCGCTCATGGGATTTCGCCCACTGAAATAATACGGAATTGAACCGGTCATGTCTGGTTCTCACATACACCATCTGAGATGATGGCTTATGAGAGCTGGTATTTCAGAAGTAAATTATTGGAGACATGCGGAATAATGCACCATTGTCCTTTCTTCTAACACTTCCCTTTTTGATTCCCAATGAACAACTCCATTAGAGAGTTATGCTACATACTGCTAGACTTTTTCACAGATGGATGGATCAGTGTTCTATTTTTCCTACAAGCTGATGCTTAATATTATGCATCTTAGCTGCCTTGCTGATGCTTCAAACTGTATGGAATGTTGCTGCAGTGTAGCTTTGCCTAAAAGTTCAGATATTTTATCACGATCAGATATTTAGTTAGAAGTACAAAAGGGGATTTACTTGTCTTATGAATTAAATTGTTCAAGAAAGCATTTAGATCCACTCAATGATTCGAAGCAAGACAAGGAAAAGGTTGTCTGCTGCTTCATTTAATTTAGTTTAACAATGCATGTCATGAGACAAATTGACATTAATGAAGTGACGGGTAGTTTGATCCCAGCATCAGTTGGATCACATCATTTTATATGAGGCTACCTATTCATGATGGATATTCAATACCTGCACCGAGAAATATTAGAAATAAGAAAGTCATTCATAATGGCTGGATATGAATGGTAATCTATCTAAACAAAAAATTGCAAGTTCTAGGCTTTCTACTCGACTTCATAACTACCTTACGGTTCAGAGTAGTAGCTAAAATTAATTTCTTCACTCTGCTCCTATGCTCTACATGTTTAAAATTTGTTTATGGTATTAATATATTTATGTCTACTGACATCAGTTACTGGAACATTCTCTTGATTGGCTTTCCATCATTTTCCGTTTGCTTGAAGAAACTACAGAAAAAGGATGCAACTAGAAGCCATTGGCACCGGAGAAGCCGTTCTGTTGATTTTGATACTTTTGTAAAAGAGGATGAGCGTGTTGTTGGAACTACTCTATCGGCAGGAGATGCAGTTGTCCAAGCAAGTTCAAATTCAGAACACTCTCCTGCCACCAAACTTCATGTGCAGGTGTCGTCGCAGGCTGCAACTCAATCTGAACAAAATGTGAAAGAGGAATGGGCTGCAACTGTTATTCAAACTGCTTTCCGAGCTTTCCTGGTAAAATATCCTTCTTATGTAGCGTTGAAGTGCCTTCCAATTATTTAGTATTCAAATCCTTGCTATTAAACTTGATAGTAAACGGCATTGTAAAATGTACATCAAGATATCAATGCTTGGAGAATTCATACTGCATTAGATTTGAAATTCAATATGAGAATAATTTTCTTTTTCCTTATCCTTTTCTTAGCAATGGAAACTGTCTCCATTTAGGGTCTAAGCAAGCCGCAAATGAGTGAGGTTCTGCCTTGTTGAGCTTGGTTTGCTGACTATTGATCTGAACACAAGCTGAGTTTAAGCCAGTTAAAGCTCAAAAAGTCTTGTTCAAGCGAAAAAACTTTAATTATCATGTCAAGTCAAACATGACTGGACGCCAAGCCACTATGATTATTATATTCATCAGCAGTGCTTGATTAATGATTTTGGTCACTTGCAAAAAATTGTGATTCTATATTAGTATATTATAATGTCATTAAACTGTTAAATAATTTAAAGTTGTATTATCTATGATTTTTACAGTATATTCAATGATTTTGACTGATAGAATCCCTACTCACACTCAGCCCATTTATTAAATAAGCATATGTATCCTATGCAATCTCATCTCATTCTTAACAAAGTAGTCACACTTTAGTCAATCATCAAGAGAAACACGGGATGATTGTGAGAGCTAGCTTGAAAGCACTAGTAGTTATCATTAAATTTATAGTTTTCACACCTTACGTCTATTATGATCCTGGATGATTGAGGGAAAAATGAAGGTTTTTAGTTTTCCAGCAACACTAGAAAATGAGGAATTGAGAAGGGAAAGAGGAGGTGAGTTCTACCAAGTTTTTTGTAAGATCATTTAGTGTTCAATGTTCGTTATTGTTTTATAATTTTATTGTTTCATTTGATTATTTTTTTCAAAGATGTCTTTAATGTTTTGTTCCCTGTAAGTTCATGTAGTTTGAATTTCGATAGTCTTCGAGGTTGCTAGATTTCACACCACGCTTTAAAAAAATGTGTATAATCGGTGTCATGGGACACACGATCGAGAGTATTTGATCTCTTCGCATTTTAAAAGCATGTATAGGCCAGTCAGAATTTATTTTTCTCTTTTATGAGGTTTAAAAAGCATGCGTAGGTGAGAGAGATTGCTCAGTATACATGCTTTTTTTCTTTTTAATTCTAGGTATTCTATCATTAATTTTTTTCTTCTTAATTTATTTCTCTTTCATGAGGCTTGGCTTTTTTCTTTTAGAGAGAGAGAGAGACTTTTTTTGGTTATCTTTGTTTAGAGAGAAAATGGAGAGTTAGAGAGAAAGGGTGAGCTAGAGAGGGCTGGTGAGAGTTCTTCCTCTATTTGGAGAGAGAAAGGGAGAGGAAGCTAGGGAGAGTTAGATAAGGAGTTGGGAGAGAGGTAGAGAGAGAGAAAGGGAAAGAGAGGTAGGGGAGAGGTCCTTTGGGAGTTTTGAGGGAGATGGCAATTGCTCAGTTGTGGGGACTAGGTTGGCTATGGGGAGGTGCAGGATTGGTGGATCACCAATGTGGAGTTGATGATTGGGCTATGTCGATGGATCTTGGAGTGATTGGTGGCTTGAAGTAGGCTGATGGAGGCGTCAACATGAAGGTGAGGAGGGACGTGAGTGTCAAGGAGGGTGGAACTACTATGTAGTCAAGGTGGGCAAATGCCCACTTTTGCCCACCCCAAAATAATTTTTTTCTCTATTAAAAATATATATATCTTACATCAACAACAAGCCTTTATCCCACTATGTGGGGTTGAAAAAAAAATCTTAATAAATTGCTTATATTAAATAATTATTATTGCCTAGAAGGAAGCTCTTGCTCAATAAAAGCAATATTTGTTCATATTAAAATCCTTAATTCAAGGCGAGCACACAATTTTTTTGGTAAAGTTGAACGATCATTTAATAAGTTATTAAAATTGTATATTAATCTTATTGTTTTTTAAATGCTTAATCATGGAGCTACAAAATTCCATTTAGCTCATAAATTTAATAGCTCAAACCACTAGAATACAATATGGGTTGTGTTGATCTGCTTATAAATAAAATAAATCTTAATTTTTAATAGAAGAAATTTTAATTATGCATATATTTATAATTAAATTGAAAAAATGAATTATCATAAATCTTACACAGAAATATGAGATAATTTTTTTTTTAAATAATTAAATTTCAAAATTACAAGTGAATTTAACTTTATTATGAAATCTCAATAATGCAAAAAAAAAAAGTCATCAAATTTTGATAATTTAGTTTTCCTAATCTAAACAATAAGGCCGATTTTGCCCCTAGTGAGGGAGATTAGCGGTTTGAGGATAGGTTTCAATCTGGGTGCGGAGGAGAGGGGAACGGCAGCAAAGCTAGTCACACATTTGTGCAATAGTGAGAGGAGGAGATGGAAGAAGCGAGTTTGGTCACGGTTTGTGCGAAAATTAGAGGAGGAGACAAGTGAGCAGTGCTCAGCGAATGCGAGATAGGGGCTATTCGTGGGTTTGCTAAAAAAATGAGAGGAGAAGATGTAGGGAATGATACTAAGCGAATGAGGGAGAGGGGAAGTGATAGGACGAGACATTAACGGTTGATAGACTGGCGTGAATGAGGTTTTCTTGGATTTAATTGATTTGATTTTTTTAATCAAATAAAAATTAACTATAGCAAATTAAATTAAATTAAATTAATTTATTTTAAAATTATGTTAATATGTTCACATACTCTCATTTCTTTCTTTCATCTCAAAATGCATGCTATCACCTTATGAGCAGATAAATCTCTTATTTCACTTTTGTGTAGCAGCCTAGTCGCTATTGATGTTCTTTCTGGGTAATTTTAACATTTTAGATGTGTCGATGTAGTCTGTTTTATAAATGGGTAATGTTTGAGTAGCTTTGTGCAGTTTCATATTTGTAATTCATCGTTATTTCATCGTATGGCTATTTGAGAATACAATAAGTCATCTCTAAATATATTAGCATCTCAGACATGTCGATGCAATTCATTTTATGACACAAGTGATGATTGAGCAATTTTGCATGATGTCGTAATTGTCGCTAGCCATGTTCATATTGTTTGATTGAATTAAGGGAGATGGATGCTTTTTTGATAAATTTGATGCTTTGGACGCATCGGTAGAGTCTGCTTACAAATGGGCAATGTTTGGACAACTTAGGTTGTGGTTGAGATGTTTTGATTAATTTTGTGCGATGTTGCGTCTATGGCCATTGTTGCTCGCTTTTGACTGATTATAGTTCATACTGTCTTGTGATACATACATCTAGGTCAACAATGTTGAGGAGGCTTCAAGTATTGGTCTTATAATGTACAAGCCATGTCACACCCCATTTTGACTCCCCTTACGGTCAACCTGGAGTATAACAGAGAAGGAAAATCTAAATATGTCCATTCTTACTAGCACCTGTTTTAAGCTACTTCTATCAGAATCAGATGAGTAAAAAATAATATGTTTAGACTGTCCTAAAATATCAAGCTTTGTCCTAAAATATCAAGCTTTATACTTAACAATATGAAGCATATAATATATCTCAATTAAACATCAAATACAATAAAAAAATACTCAGCTTTACTAAAATTTTTTAAAATTTATTTACATACCCCAAAAGTCTTTGTACAACCTCCACTTGAACTTCTATGTACACCCAAAATATATTATATCAAAAAGGATAATTACCCCATTTTGTCTAATATCTTATGTGCTTCTTCCGCTTTCCTGCAGTATAACCACTGTTAATAAGTTAGGACTCAATGAAATATACAAGCAATGTATAAAAAATAATTATAACATTACTAATAAATAATTTAGAATGCATTGGAATTCCATACTGATTATAAGAAATGCATAACATTACTTTCCATCTTATTAAATATTCAACACCTTTAGACAAATCATATGATGACTATAAGTTTTTGCACCATTTAAACTTTTCAATTCAAGGTTGGGTCCAAATTCTCAACTTTTAGAATTGAAGCTACTCTCTCATTTAAGGTTATTTCCAAATTCCAAATTTTTGTAATTTTGAAAATGTATGCTTACCTCGTCATGTCTTTCACATTTATTTGTGTGGGTCTATCTTCTATACATGACTTATTTTATTTTTTCAATACCATTCCATTTAAATAATCATACATTATTTTCACTAATTAATGAATTAACAATTACATGAATAAATTGAAATTAAAATGCTATCATAAACATAACATTTATGAATTTACAAATATATAAAATTTCTACTATTTTTGATGCATTGTTTGGGTATATCATTTCACTTGGAATTCATTCTTCTAGGTATTATTTTCTTTTGCATTTGTACACCACCTAAAACATGCATTTCTTTATTTACACATATAAATAAATAAAACAACAATATGAATATCTTACGAATTACCTAAATTGTACTCTTCATTCAACCCACAATCTTTCCTTTTCTCCTTCCTAATCTCCCTCTTTTCCTTCTTTCCTTTTTCCTAGTGAATTCAACAATTGGTTTCAACACACTCAGCATTCAGAAATTCATATTTCAGCAACAATACACACTAATTTCAGCAACAATAGCAGCAATTTTCACTATTCTCCTCACTATTTCTTCACACACGAGTACAAAAGTACAATTACAGAAAATACAATTACTGATTTCTTTAACTTTTTACCATCCGAAACTTCCTTCCTACATCTTATTACCTCAGAAATCAGCGACCAAAAAAAACTGCAGCTCCCACACACAGTAGCCCGTCTCCTTCAGCCCTTCGTTCTCCCACAGCCAGCAGCTCTCGGCAACTGCACTGCTCCGTATGCCAGGGAGCAACGCGGAAGGAATAAGGGGAAAATAAAATGCTTTATTCATAGGATGAAAATTCCACTATGCACTATTATATTCTACTACTACTACACTAATTCCTTTCAAACACTCCACCCAGCTGTTGATTTCCAGCCTCTTTCTAATCCCTCTAATGCATGCAAGGCTAAGTGATGTGGCTACAACATTAATAATAAAATAATTAGATGGCAACTGCTGAAATGGCTGTTATTTAAGAATTAATTAACCTTTTTTTTTGCAATATGTATAACATCATTTTTTATATTTCAATTAACTGTGACAGAGATAATGATCAGTTATTCGTATAATAGATGAAAAACCCAAAATTAAAAGTTTATGCTTACATTTATTTTGAGTATGTCGGATATTACAAACCATTTGAGATTGTGGATATTTGGACATCAAATGAACTCGGCATAAGTATAGTTTTTATGTGATTTTGTCGTATCAGCATTGTAAGGTTAGATGAATTTTGGTATTTACTTGCTTGCCTCAAAGTTCTATGCATTCTCAAAGTCAGTTCACTGAGCAGCACAGTGTCTTTCTGAAAATACCAGTCGTGTACTCTTATTGGTGTCCAGATTGTCAATTAGCATGCTTTAGTATTTATTTTTCACTTGGCTGCATTGTTGATCATTTCCCCAAATCTGCAGTTAGCATAGTTTCTATGGAGAGTCACATAATTCATCTAATTTATTTGTTTAATCTCTTTGTTATGTTTATTATAGTTTCGTGGCTAAAATGTTTGAGGCTAAGTATTAAGCCATCGAGTCCTACAAAAGGCCTCCTGTGTTTTTGAGTTTAAATTCCAAACTCCCGGAAAATTCTGATGTGGCTTGCTGATCCGTTTTAGCTAACACGATAAATTTGCTCATATATCCTGTTTTGCTAAACATTTCATATATAAAAATAACCCAAACATTGCAAACATTTATCATGTTCCCAGGCCAGACGAGCGTTACGAGCTTTGAAAGGACTTGTCAAACTGCAGGCCCTTGTTAGGGGCCATGCTGTTAGGAAACAAGCTGCAATAACCCTTCGTTGCATGCAAGCTTTGGTTAGAGTCCAGGCCCGTGTTAGAGCAAGGCGAGTGCGCATAGCCTTGGAGAGTCAACTTGGGCAGCAAACGGCTCAACAACAGGTTGCTCAGGATGCACATGTTAAAGAAATAGAGGTAATTGACAAGGCTACTTGGTGATGATGGTCCATATTAGAGATTTGTTTATTGCTTATGAGTGTTTTATTTGGGCATCACAATGCAAATTATGATTTTTTTTTGTTTATTAACTAGTTTCTTCCTTTGGTAGTATGGTTGTCCAAGTTCGTCTATTGAATTACTTAGAATATATCTGTACACAAAAACCTCATGTTAGATAGACGTTTGAGCTAATGCTCCAAAGCTACAATAGGATAACCATCCGAGCATCAGAAAAGAAGGTATGCTATCTCACCATTATCTTTTTCGACTCTGGTTTCCTTTAATCTACATGGATTTTAGGAAACCAATCCATTAAGATTTCATATTTGCCACCTTGCCAATTCTAGTTAGTTCTTTAAAGTTGCTTTCAGATATGTATGTCCCTTTGTATTTGACATGCATACATTGTTTAGGAGAACTTGATATGTAGGAGTATTCATTTTGCCAGAGGCATTATGTGCCATATATGGATGGAGCACCCTATAGTCAATCCTATAGAATGACCAATATTTTGTAAGAAAATTTCTGAAGATCAAAGCATCAGAAATGGTGCGGTTACCATAAGTTCTACAACAGCAATACAGTTTGTATTTTTTATTCAAGCCTCTTACTTTTGCTTTTTTATTTTCTATTCAAGTCTTCTACTTCTCTTATGATGTTTTCTGCTCTTTAGCAACTTCTATCAAATTTATCTGTTATGTCATCATGGTTCATGTACAGTTAGAAATTTGTAGCAAAAAAGGACAAGTTCTGTTCATTTGTTGTTTAGAGTATGTTGGTTCCACTGCGCTGTTCGCTGGTCATTTCCACGAGAGACTATATTCTGTTTGCCAGAAATGGCAATTTATATATTAGTTTGCTTCTGGGACTTGTTCAGTGGTCATTTTCATGACAACTAATGTGTTTACCAGCAAGGCAGCAATGAAGATCTTGATTAATTTTTTTTTCTTGCGTACAATTAAAGTTTAGAGTTATCATATATTTGTTAGTTTTGTTGATTGTAAAACTGCTTCAAGTTTGTACATATCCTGAATTCTGAATATGCTGAAAGTATATTCATTCTTTTGTTTTATTTCAAGTGACCAAAGTAAGATCAAGCTAAAGGAGGTCCTGAAACTTTCCTCATACATGTTTTTGAATAAAGGGTATTTTTGAACTTCAACTCCACATGCGCTGTAGGTTGTCTGCTTTGGAACTTCTTCAAATTCACCCATTTACTTGTTTTTCTTTTCCTAAAACTATGATTTTTCACTTATTAAAGCATAAAGAAAGCATAAATTTCCTTTGTGCAAAACATTACAGTTCCAATGTAATTTAAATGCGTTGCCTCATCTTCTAAGATCAATTTCTATGAATGCAGGAAGGTTGGTGTGACAGTGTTGGATCTGTTGAGGAAATGCAAGCAAAACTGCTAAAAAGGAAAGAAGCTGCAGCCAAACGTGAGAGAGCGATGGCTTATGCTCTTTCTCATCAGGTACACCTTGATCAGAACAACATCAAGTGAGATAGATTTGACATGTCAAATCTGTAAAAATGTTTTAACTTCAAAAAGTACATGCTCCAGAAATTTTATGATGGACAATATATTTTTTTACAACTTCAGATTATGGAAGTTGCTGAATCAAAAGAAATGTTTTAAAGGGAATACGATAGCATCTTATAAACTCATTGTACTGTTTTGACAATGCTGTTCCATTTGAGCTTGTTGGATTGACTTTATTTTGGGTTTCATCTAAATCAACCACTTTCAAATTTGTGATTTTGGCCATTCCTTTGGCTTGTCTAATTTTCTGCTGCGTTGCAGCAGAATATAAATGTTGCTGTGATACAAGATGGCCATTTTCGCATAAACTATAATCAATCCTTCCCACCATAACCAATATTTATTATAAAATATCGACGTGCTTGCATAGTAATGACTTCTAAGAGACATTTTAATGTTGAAATTCTGAATTCTCCAAGCCAATCGAGGCTGAATGTCAAACAAATGTACAATTATTATTGTGTCCAGTGCAGATTTTGAGTCTTATCTATAAACTGAAAGGGTCACTTAGTGTATATTGTCTATTATCTATTCTATGAATAGGTCATTTAGCCTTTTTTTTAGCCTTTTTTTTGTTGGTCTTTCTCAGTGGCAAGCAGGTTCCAGGCAGCAGACAGGCCCTCTAGGGTATGAACCAGATACAAACAGTTGGGGTTGGAATTGGTTAGAGAGATGGATGGCAGTCCGGCCATGGGAGAATCGTTTTCTTGACATCAATATCAAAGATGGAGTTATGGCTAATGGAAATGTACCAAAAGAGGGAAAGCAAGTAGCCACATCTTTTTTGAAGCTTTCTGAGAGGAAGCCTATTTCTACTCTTCATTCAAATTGTGTCATTCAGAAAACTATTCCCTCTCATTCTGAAGGAAGTGGATCCTCATCAAATCGTTCTGTGAAACTGGTGGGTGCCTCCAACCTGGTGCCAGTTGAAGCCATTTCTAGATCTTATGGTATGGTCCCAAGGTCCAAAAGCACTCCAAAAGAAAGGAATCTGCAATTAGATTCGCAGGATAGGAAGAGGTTCTCATTACCTGACAATGGTATGTCTCTATATGTCTAATTTTAATAGTGCTCTCTGTCCCTTCCAAGTATCTTATTTTGTCTGCATGATCATCTAATCCTCTTATGAATTAATGCAAATTCAAAAATTGAGTCAATGATTAAGACTAAAATGTGTCAAACAATTATATTTGGCTTAAATAAATTTTGGCTTGACCCTTTGGTTTGTGCATTATTTGTCTTCTAGCTATTGGTGTCACTAGGCTTTTTGATAAGGTTAGGCTAGAGGCACTTAAGATTTTTTTTTTAATAATTTTTTATGTGTATGGTAAATTCCAAGTTACAAATTTGTTGTAGATAGGGTATGAACTCAAGATGTTTACTAGACTAACTAAACTAGCTGGTATGCATATCAACATTTGGTTCCCTTGGATTATATTTTTGTTGATTGGTGGGTTCATCTATGTGACCAACCATTCATATTTTAATCCTTTCATATATTGTTTAGTATTGTTTTGTTGTCACTACCAAAATTTATTTGAAAATATTATTAATGTTACTATTAATATTAGTGTTGTTATTATTATTATTGTTAATAATAATAATAATAATAATAATAATAATAATAATAATTTGTTGGCTATTAAAAGAGAAGCATAAAATTAAGTGTTGTAGAGATGAGGATGCTTAGTTGGATGAGTGGCTTTACACCTAGAGATCAAATGCTAAACGAGTATGCACATGAAAAAGTTAAGTACTTCAGTGGCAGATAAGATTAGAGTGAGTCGTCTTAGATGGTTTGGTCACACAGAACATTGGTCTTTCAATAACCTTGTTAGGAGAGTGGATGTATTAGATCCGGCTTATATTAAGAAAGATAGAGATATAGTTAAAAAGATTTGGTCAGATAGTATTAAAAATGACATTTTTAATTAGATTGAAATGAAAATTCAACTCTTAACAAAACTTTAAAAATGACATTTTTAATTAGATTGAAATGAAAATTCAACTCTTAACAAAACACAATGGAGAAAAAGGATTCATGTAGCCAACCCGACATAGTGGTTAAAAGCTTGTTGTTGTTGTATTATTCTTTAAAATTTTCTTTTTGATTTTTGCATTGCTGGTCCCTAGCTTGATTGTGAAAGATTGAGGGTTAATTTTAGGTTGATAGACGATCACAAAATTCATGTTGGGGCATTCCTCCGAGGCAAAGTGTAATAACCTAACTCGATTGTGGTGAAAAGTAGATAAAGGTGGACTATAATGTCACACCTAACTAACACGCTATAACTTGTTGATTGAGGTGAAAAGAAAGCAAGGGTGGGCTAGGACATCACTTTTAAGTAATGCACTACAAGTTAACCCCAATCAGAATCAAAAGTAAGGAAGGGTTAACTTGGTCTAAATTTAATATTAGATTTATTATATGAAATTTGAGGAATAAAAAATAATAAAGTTTGCAAACACTATTTTAAAATCCCAGCCGCTCTCTCTAAAGAGATCCCACGGCCACAAATCAAGATCCGTGGGAAGCCCGCCCGAATCACGCCCACCTGAATTACGATTGTTCCCTTCCATAGTTAGGTAGTTGATTTAGGAAGGAATATATGAGGGCGATAATGCCTGATTATGTAATTAAGTTATTTCTTTATTTAACCCTCTATATAGATATATAAATAGGGATGAAATTGTGTAATAAAGTATGATTTTTTTACCTCTCAAACTCCTGAATTCAACATGGCATCAGAGCACCGAAGGAAGTGAAGAGGAAACTATCGTAAGTAAGAAGAGGAGGCGTTCATTGCCCTAGAAATTGGTTGTCAAAACCAGCGGCACGAGTCCCCTTTGCGTGTGGGACAAAGCCGAAAGAAGCCTACCAACGTGCAGGAAGGACAGAGCCGAACGAGCCTCTTGTGTGCAGGACGGGGCCGAGCGTACCTCCTGCGTACGCGACGAACCTGAACAAAGGAACTGATGGTGCCGAATGATGTGCTAGACGGATCCTCCTGCTTGTAAACCAACTCACGCGTACGGAAGAAGAGGTCGAGCTCTTCTTATTTGTGCGGGACTCGTAAGATCGAGTCGGGCATGCAACCCGATCTATTAAATTCCTATTCACTCAAATTTTGACCTTCATTATTGATATAATTAAGAGAGAGTCTTTATTATTATCTATTTTTGTGACACCACAATGTCTGAAGGAAATTCAAACCAGAGCTTTGATCAAATTGAGGATCTTATGGTGCACCAGGAATGAGGTGATCTCCAAAGCATGCAACCTTCCTATCGCCTAAATGGGAAGAATTACCTGAAGTGATCTCAATTTGTGAAAACCTACTTAAAAGGGAAAGAAAAAATACACCACGTCCTCGGAGGAGGACTGAAAGAAGGAGATCATAATTTTTGGGCATAAGATGAAGTTGACTCCATAATTATTTCATGGTTGTGGAATTCCATGACTCCATAAATTAGCGATACGTTTATGTTTCTATCCACTGCAAAGGAAATATGGGATGTCGCCAGACAAACCTTCTCAAAAGATTGGGATGTTGCTCAAATCTTTGAAATTAAAATTAAAGTATGAAGCACAAAGCAAGGAAGCAAGAAAGTGACAGAGTATGTCACTCTTTTGCACTAGTATCAGAGTCGATTGCCAAGATGGATAACTCTGCCTTTCTTATGGTGACATCCTATTTTACTATATGTGTAAACCTAATGTACATTTCAGATATAGTCTCACTAGGTTTCATGCCAAAGAGTTCATAGTCATGTAATAGAATGTTTAACCTAGACATTTTGACTTCACTAGTTCCCTTATATGTGATGCACAATTTATCTCATATTTCTTTTTCCATAGTACAGGTAGATACTCTTATATAATCCTCAGATTTCAAAGCACAAAAAAAAAATTAAACATTTAGCATTTAATTGAGCAAGCTCTATATCCTCATGACTCTATTTAGTAAAGGACATTATCAGTTTTGACTCCATCATTAACTACTCGGGATGGAAGTGAATAACCAGTTTGAATCATATGTCAAATTTTATAGTTAATGAATTGCAGAAATGTATATATGTAAATTTTCCAAGATGGATTATTGAATAACTCTCCATAGTATTTTTATTTCCAATTTGCACCATTTGATCTTTACTTGGGGATTTTAAAATTGTGAATTCCAAAACCCGTTCTGATACCACTTGAAAATTCGGGGAGGTTATAAGACCTTGGTGAACTATCCCTAGGCTCACCAAGAGAGGGGATGAATTTGTACTTTTAAAAAATAATTACTACAACAATAAATTTTTTTTTTGTTTTGTGCTAGAAAACTATTTTGAAAAATAAATCTAAATGAGTAACTTAACACATGCGAAAGCAATTCATAATTTAAAAATATTTTGTTTTGAGGCGAAAATATATCAATCAAAATATGAAAATTTTCATTTTAGCACACCATGAATTTACCTAATTGCAATTTATAATAAAAGATGAAATTATTGTAGGAAATTTAAAGTGCATAAATAAAAATACATAAAAGTAAAATATAAATGAGAAAGAGTACACCAAAATTTTTATAAGGGTTCGGTCAGCCTTGACCTACGTTCACTCTCCGAAGTCCTCTTCGGGTATTGCATTAACACTATAGTATCTCTTCTTTTGTCCCCACAACGAGGAGAAGCTCTTACAAGAATCACTTCCACCAAATTTGGTGCGACGAAGAACCAGAAGCTATGTCCTCCTTATGATAGCAGCGAACCTTCAATCCTTTTTCACCCTCTTGGTGAAGGCAGAGAACCTGGAAACCTTCTTCACTCTTCTGGTGATGACAAAGAACCACAATTCTTTTTCACCCTCCTGATGAAGACAAAGAACCCAGGACCCTGACTTTGAAGCTTCTCTCCCAAGAGCAACTTCAAGAACTCACCAAGGCCATAGGAGGTAGCTGGGTGCAAGGTCGCCTGAAGCAACCATGTGAATACCCCTCACACTCCTCCCTCACACACAACCTCACATTCTTCCTCTCTAAGCTCAAAGTTCTCTCAAGAAATTCTCCCTTAAAGTTCCTTCTACAGCCAAAGTTCTTACAAAAGACTTCAATAGGGGTAAGAGTTTTTTTTAATTTTGATTTTTGATTTTTTTTTTTAATTTTAAAAAAGGCAAATCAACAATAAATTGATTTTTAAAATACAAACATTCAAATCAACACTTAATATAAACAACCAAACACTTACTCCCCCTTTTGACATTACAAAGCAGGAACACTCAAGACATAAAAATCAACAAAATATAAAAAATGAGATACAACACACAAAACCTAAAAGCAGGAAGACCCCTGATCAAGTGGTGGTGGTGGTGGTTGGAAATATGTTTGAATAGAAGAGAAATGTTCTCCAAACTATGCCGTTTTCGCCTTGTGTTGTTGTTGTTGCTACTGAATATGAGAATCCAGGCGGGACCTAGTCGATTAAACCTCTGTATCAGCTCTTCATAAGGGTAAGAGTGGGATGTTGGTGCAGGTTGTGGTGCTGGTGCTGGTGCACGCACAATTGCAAGACCAGCTTCCTCTTCTTCATCAAAATCTGGTTCGTCTTGCTCTTGCCCTCGATGATGATAAAACAGAATATGGAAGGAAGCATCAATGTAGAAAATAGGAAAATTATCGACAGTTGCAGGGCATGTAAGTTCATATTTTTTATTTAGAATATAGGCAATGACATGACCAAGAGAAATATTTTGCTTTCTTCTAGTGGAAGGAAGTCGAATGGGAGTCAGGTTTTGAATATAGTCGATAATCATTTGGGTTTCATCAAATTAGGTGTTGGTCATAATAACTTAATCGACTAAGGAAAGGAGTGGAGTAATATTGGCACGATCTCCAGCTTTTGGAATGATTGGAGTTCGAAGGATATGCTAGATAATACAAGCATTTTGATTTAAGGAATGGACTAGGGGTTGATGTTAGTTTAGGCCCACATTTCTGAAAGTTAAGTTGACCGCACTTCAATCAAAGTCTCCTCGCGAAACCATTGATTGGGGTCTAGGTCCTTCTGTGGATAGGTGGGCATACGTTCCTATGTCCTCCTTAGTGATCTCTATGGGTCTTCTACAGACGTATGATCGCAAGAGAAGAGGTTCAACACTAACCCTTAAATTTGCAAGGAGTTCATATATAAGTTCTAAGTTGAAAGGAAAAGCAAGGGTAAGTAGAAATTGGAGAGAGGTGGATGCGAAAATATTCATCACCTTATAGTTAAATCCTGGTTGATTTAACATTCTTGAGGGGGTGGTTCGAGCTTCCTTGTATCTGTGGTACGCGACTTCATCTTCAATAGATTGAAAGCGATCGTCCATAGGGTGATGAGAGGAAGAGCCTCCTTGCGCCATCTAGCCATTTGAGTACCTGACGATGTGAAGGTATGAGTAGAGAGAGAAGAAAGGAATTCAAGGATTTGAGTGAATTGAATAATATAAATTCCTCCAATTTATAAAATTTTCAGCTAATCGTACAGTACGATTTAAGTTCGTACAATATGATCAGATGAAGTAAATCGTCTGGACAATTTGTCGGAAAAAGGTGGTCAAATCGTATGGTTCAGACAATTTAACTTCGTACGAACGAAGTTTCTTAAGATCCTTGGGATGAACGAAATTTCATAAGATCGTCCAATACGATACTGATCTTACTATACTATTTGACGAGATGAGGGTATGAGAACAAAATTTATTAAAGATAAGGTGACTGAAAATAGATTTGGGTGATTTGGATATGTGCAACTAGTGCTAAAAAAACGTGCCTGTAAGACAGGTTAAAATTAGGGTGGGTTAAAAGTTTAGGAAAGAGAAATAATAAATTTAAGATTACATGTATGGAACTTTTTTTTTTACATGTATGGAACTTGTTAAATTGATTTGCAAACATTAGGTTTGACTCTAAGGATTCCTAACTATCACTAGTATCCCCAACCCTAAACAATAATGAATGAAAAATGAAAATTCATAATGTCGACTCTAAATATTCGGGATAAGACTTCCAATAATGAAGATGATAATGATGATTAGAACTAACATAATTATAAGGAAATGAAGATTGTGGCACACAATGAATGTATGGGAAAGGAAAATGTAAACCATGTCAAAGATTAGATGATCAATTTAATTTTATATCAAGAAGAGTTACTAGTAAGTTATTTTTGTGCTAGAGAAATTAATAGAAAGTTTAGATGAATAAATGCTAGAGAGTGAACTATAGACGTCATCTCAACACAGATCTTTACTCTTTTGTAGATTTTTTTTGTTTTCCTTATAATCTTTAAACAGTCATCATGTGGTTGCTTCTCTTTCCATTGCTGATGCACAACTTGGTTCTCTTGTTAAGCTTCCATTATAATTTCTTCATTCACACCGCACCTGTTGCCACCATCCTCAAAAGCCCTTGCTTGTGTATGCCTTCGTTTGGGACGATTTTCTTTCTGCTTCTTAAAGCAGCTTTGTAATATAAAAGTATTAATTTTTATATAAAAAACTGCTTTATGAAACATCAAGAAAGCCATCTCAAACGAAACCTATATTGCTATTTTTATTTCTGACAGAAAACTTAATTGTTCTGAGTCAGGTGCATCAGCAGCGAAGCGAAAGATTAATCGGCCTTCAACAAGCAAGGCAACCAACTCTCAAAAGACAATCAAGGAAGCGCCCAAATCAGATGAAGAGCAACGGATTCTGAATCTGAAAAACGAAGCAACAGAAAGCGTTGAAATCCAAGCATGAGAAACTGCTACTCTTTGTACTTATGTATTGTGCATAAAACCTGGCAACTCATCCAACTATTTCTCCCATTGTTGTGAAGGAATTACTGCAACATAGTGAGGCAGACGCAGAGAGCTCTTTCTGCTGCGTAAATTTAGTGGGATCTTCATATGGCACCAATGTTTTCCTATTTGATTTATGATTGTTGGATATGTTTTGTTTTTTCTGGTTAATTTTTGTTCATTTTAAACAATCCTCCGTTTTTTGGAATAGAGCATTCGTAGGGTTCGTTTGGGACGATTTTTTTATTATTTTATGAAGTAGCTTTTTAGTTTAAAAATTAAAATTTTTGTACTAGAAAATTGTTTCAAGAAGCATTAAAAAAGTTGTCCTGAATGAAGCCTTAGAGCATCTCCAATGGAACGGTCATTCCAACCGAGTAACAATTCTTACACCATTTCATCGCGGATGAACAGTGCGATACCAATATTAGTGTTGCATTGTTCATTTGCGCCATTTTTTGGTCTCTACCGAAGTTGCCGAAGAAATGCACGAAAAGAAGAGAAGACCATTACGGGGCAAAATGGAGTTCGATTGGAGATGAATCACGACATTTTTTAGTTTCACGACATTTTGGAGTGAAAAAATGAGATTTTCGGTTGGAGATCCCTTGGTGTTGCATGAAAAATTACTGGACAAGGGACAATTTGGTGAGAAAACTTTTTTGAGCTCAAAGAACAAAAAAAAAATTGCCCTTCTAGGCAGTATTGTGGTTAGTTTTGGCCACTATTAGTCCAGTAATGTTTAATATTAATATTGATCAATACTATTCACAGTACTAATTATTAGCATAAGAGTTTTCATTGAGCTAAGCTCATAGAAAAATCACTATAGGGTATTCCTAATATAGGTGTTAATGAGTTATTATTTTATGTGACTCTTTTAGCTCCATTTGAGATGCTACAACATTTTATTGAGTTGGTTGTGAAGTTGTAGCAAAAATAATTTAACTATTCTTATTATACAAATCATTTTTCAACTATAAAATTTTCTCAAAATCAATGAGAAAATAACAGTAAAATAAAATTGTGATCGTTGTTCGAAAAGTAAAGAAATGACAAAGCTGTTTCAAACAGACCCTTATTTTGTGATTACAATCGCTCGAATCTTATAATGATTCTCCGTCCCGATTTCTTGTCTTGAACAAAATGTGAATTTTGTTCGCCGCCCTATGTGTCCTATTATAAGGATTAATGCAAATTAAGAGAAGAGGAGAGAAAGTGAATTGGATGTGTGAATTTTTTGATAGTATAAAATTTTCTTATGAAGTTCTTTTCAATATAAATGTTGTATAATTAATTACAATATAATGCAGAAGTTATAGAAATAATTTTATACAATAGAAGTAATTAATAATATGATATATGGATGATATAAGTATAATGGAGAATTTTAAATGATTTAAATGCAAGTTTTTATACATTCAAATGAGCGCATAAGGGGATTGATCATAGTAAAAATAATCATATTCATTATGATTAGAACACACATGTAGTTTTAGTATGACTTAACTAATGAAATAGTGGTGTAGATAGATTGTTTAACTAGAAATATAGTGGTATAGATAGCAAATTATTATGTCTGATCACTAGACTTAGAAAATAGGTTCGGACATCCACTAAAAAGTTGACACGTGGACTGTGTTTTGACTGTGCGCTTTGACTGTTCTTTGGGTGCACTTTGACTGCGTTTTGGGTGCGCTTTGACTGCGCTTTACCTGCGCTTTTGGCTCGCTTGATTTAAAATTCCACGGACACGTATACATTCCACGCGTCAAATTTTTAGTGGCTAACCGGACCTAATAATTTGCCGGTATAGATAGATTGTTGACCCACTGAGCTCATGTCTAGCTTCTTAAGCTTCGTTTGGAATAGTAGTTTCTATGGCATGTAAGCGTCGGCGGTTTAACCACCGGAATTTACCGGTTGTTTTAACCCCAAAAAATTGCCGGAAACCTTAGCCACCGGAAAATGGCCGTCGGTTTTTCTTTCCTATGCAATTTATTATGGCGGTTTGTAAACCGCCGGAAAACATATATAAATTGTCGGAAATTGTCACCGGTAATTGACGATTTTCCTATAGTGCTTATATGTAACTTAGGTTATATAATGCTTCTCCATAAGAATTATAAATTTGGACATTTGTATTCATACTAAACCAAATAAAGTAAATGTAATTCCATGCAAAATAAATAGGTTTAAAGTACATATTTAAAGGAATAAAAATATTTAAACCTCTAGTTGTAGCCTTGTTTGAACTTAATTTTGAACAAAAACCTCAAAATTTTTAATTTATTGAAAATTTCTCAGAAAAATACCTAAATATTTAGAATGACTAGTTTTATAATATAAAAAAAAATTATACAATGAAAGTTTTGCTGATACAAAGTTATTCTTATTTATGTAAAATAAATTTATAAATTAACTCAATAATTTTTTTTTTATGTATTGAAATCTGAGAGGTCAGAGGCACCCAAAATTAGACTTTCTCTGAGTAGAATCCTCTCCCTCCCTATAAAATAAATTTTAAGTTTTAATAAATGATTTAAAATTGGTTTTGAATATTTTTATAAAAATTTAATCTAGCACCACATCGCTTGACCTTGCTACACCAGCTCTCTGCACTAAAGAGCACGACACCACTGCGCTCGACCCTGGCACTGGGACATTAGTTCATTTTTCAAAAATAGTGTTGCCAGCCTAGCGCCACAACGCTCCTAGACGAAAATTTCAGATTTTCATGAACATTTAGACATATTCCTTGGGACCCACTTCAGAACAAATAAAAACACATCTATGCATACAAAATACTCACAGACACAAGCAGAAGACATGAATGAGAAATCCAACTCACAAATTTAGTAGGCGCTACTCATTGTTTGAATTTATTTTGAAAATTTTTTTGGACATGATCCCCTCTAGGTTCAAAAGATGCTTTGATTACAAATCTATTTAAACCAATTTTGTTCATAATGGTCATAAAGTAAGTAGTCTACAATTAAAATAAAGAGCATTTTGGTCAAAAATAAACATTTAAGTATATTTATCCAAAACAAAACCACAAGCATCTTTGGCCAACTATGAATATTATACGGGACATAAATCATATTTTCCTTTTAATATAGAACTAATTATATTTCAAAATTTGACTATGAATTTTACAAATTTTAAATTAAATAACCTAAACCTTCAATAACTTTAATTATTTCCATATTAAAATATAATTTTTAATTATTTCCATATTAAATAACCACCATATCATCTTTCATTACTAGATTGAGATCTTTCTACTAGTTAAGGACAAGGCATCCCCTTAGCTTAATCAATAAGAAGCAATTATCCTCTTTCAAGTTTTAGGTTTTATTTGAGACAGTTTTTTTGATGCTTTTTTTAAATTATTTTTTATTATTATTTTTTTATCTTTCTTACTGCTACTTAAAACAATTTTTTTGTAAAAAAAATTAATTTTTGTACTAAAAAGCTGCTATTAAAAGCAGTGAAAAATCGTCTCAAAAGAAATCTTAGTGTGTGGAAAGGTTGACAACTCCAAGAAAAAGGAGATTAAATTGGATAGCGAAAGCACATCATCATTTTGGGAGCAAAATTATTTAGTTTTTTGGCTACATAGCAAGGTAAGAAATCTTTTAATTTTTAAAAATATACTTCGAATATTTGAATAATATTTATACTAACTTCATTTTTTTTATTTTTTGTAGCACATTAAGGTTTTGTTTGAAATGGCTTTTTTACTACTTCTTAAAGCAGCTTTCAAGTACAAAATTTTTAACTTTTGTACTAAAAAGATGTTTTAAGAAGCATGTCACGTTTGGAAACCGTTTGATAATCCAAATTATGATTTGAACCTTTCAAAGATGTTTTCAGTCTTTGATTTTGACCCATTTAAGCTCGGATTGGGTCTAATTTGGTGTCGTGGTGTTCGTATTTCTGAGACGTTCAGTTCGATTATAAGTTTTCTGAAATCAGAGTATATATATGATCTCCGAATTACTTTTTGAAGTTTCCAACTTGTATTCACTTTGAGATTCGTGCCCTATCAACATAATTTTTTTTTTTATGATATATCAAGTCCCTAGGTCTTACCGTAAGGTAATCTATTTGAATTTTAAGGAAAAATTAAGAAGATTAAGTAGTACTTATTATATATATATTTTGATGATTACTCTATCTTATTTATAGTAGCAACCATGGAGTATGTAATTCAATTCATCATATATATTTTCAAAGAAGAATGTTTGTCGTAGTGTTACAAATACACCGAAGTCGAAGAGCAACGAGGAGATAAAGAAGTGACACGTGCAAAACTCAGGTTTCGTTTGGGACAGTTTTTTTCCTGCTTCTTGATGCAGCTTTTTAGTATAAAAATTAAATTTTTGTACTAGAAAGCTGCTTCAAGAAGCAGTAAAAAAATCGTCCCAAACGAAGCTTTAGCCTCACGCAAAACAACAAAGTCGAACGACAAGGACCAAATAGAGAAGATGAAAAACAGCCTTGGACTCCTAAGTTATTGGGAAGGAAATAATTTAATTCAACTTAACTAATATAATTTATAATATTAATAAATAGTATAATTTATGCATAATTTAATTATCTTTAGCTTAATTAAATAATTAACATATAATTAGTAATAAAAAATTAATATAATGAGCTTAAATAAATTTGAAATAAAAAGTATTGATTATATAATTAAAAATATAAATAATAATTAAATAATTAATGAG